CAGATTTTAATTAACTTATAAAAAATGGTAAATACAAACTATCAATAATTTTGGAATTAAGCTGCACCTTTGTTAACTCCATACAATGATTATTTATTATTTTAATAATCATAATAAATGATCATATAAATTACTAAAATTAAAAAAATATATATACAGGGTGTTCGTTATGAAACGCACTGTAGTAACATCGTTGCATTCCTTGTCAAATTCTAATGAATACTTATATTTTCATTTTTTATTTCATATATCAAAATTTCGAGATAATCAAGGTTGAAGTTGCAGTAATGCGACCAATCAGAGCGCGTTTAAACGGAGCGTAGATGACGTCGCGAGTCAGCCCGCAAGACCTGCTTACACTAGGCCAATAACACTAAGAGTATCGTCGTAGTGTCCCTGTTTATCTGCATGTAATTGAGTGAATACAATCGCTCGCTGTGACGTCAGTGAATTTCAGAAGGTACCCTTTATTCCTTATAATGTCTATTCCTTTAATGTCACAAGACAGTTGTAGCAACGTATTACGTTTTGAGTGGTCCTGAAAAGGACCGATTTTGATCTACGCATGACCGAGCTTGGATCTGGACATGCTAATCTGCAACAATTACATACATTTTCTATGATAATGATTATTCTGAAACAGTAAATATTGTAGAGTACATAACATTTTTATCAGGATGTCGCCGATTAGGATACCTAATTGCATATTCTTGCGCTGTTTGTGTTTGGTTGCCATTACATTGGACTAACACCCAATACATGTCGCAATATTCTCTCACAGAATAATCACTCGTAATGCGATCTTGTAGTCGAAACAACATAAATCGAACTAACTGTCTCCGCAATATGAAGCGAAATAGATTGTAATTTGTAAACAGTAATAAGTCTACTGCGGTCGAATGACTTGTTTTCAAATTACAACTTATTTCACTTCACATTGTGGACACAGTCAGTTCGTCAATATTTACTGATTCAGAATAATCATTACCATAGAAAATGTATGTAATTGTTGCAGATTAGCATATCCAGATCCAAGCTCGGTCATGCGTAGATCAAAATCGGTCCTTTTCAGGTCCACTCAAAACGTAATACGTTGCTACAACTATCTTGTCACATTAAAGGAATAGACATTATAAGGAATAAAGGGTACCTTCTGAAATTCACTGACGT